AGTGAGGTTTCTCTTTCAGTTCCCTTGTGCTCTATTTTTGTTCCTCGTATTACACTTGAGAACCAGCAGTCACCAGGAGACGGGAGCATGTAGGTACAGCCGACTTGCAAATGCTATAAGCTCTATAATGGAGCTGCTTTTGTTGGCAGCCCAGGTTTGGCCGAGTATTGCTGTCCTCAAGGACCCCACTCCTCTGTAGCTTTCTTTTCTAATTTTCTTTGTTTTGTTTTGAGTTTTTACCTTTATCTATAGACATTGGAAAAATGGCTAAGTATCTGGAAATAGGGCAAATCCTGCTCTGTTTTTACTAGACATTCCCTTTGAAATGGGTGGCCAACTGGGATGTGGTGAACTTGTCCTTTCTGACCCAGATGTTTCTGGTGTTATTTAACAACAGTGAAAAAAGTTCCTGTGTGAAGAGGTGATTCTTACTAAGCTTTGTGATTGCCACTGTGGTGCTGAACATTTTTTCTGAATCATTGTTTCATATTTGATAGTGTAGGTGTCATGTTTGACAGATCTATTAGTTGTGTGCTGTGACGTTTCACTGAGAGAAGGCAGACACAAGTGAACTCACTCATCTGGAAAAGGATTTAGTTTGCTACTTGTCTTCTGTGGACTATCAATACTTAAAAGCCATCTCAGTTCAACATACAAACTCTCAGAGCTTGGAGCTTCCTATGGTGAACTCTGGCAGAGCTATCTGTGGAGGTAGCTCTTTGGTGCTGATCTTCGCCAAGGGGTTGGTGTTAGTCATGTCATCTGCCAAGCCCAGTGTCACAGAGCAGAAAGTGGCTCCTCATCTCTGTGATGCAGTGACTCTGATGTGGGGCCAGTTCTCAGCTGGTGGTGTACCTGCAGGCGGTGAATGAAGTTCATGTGTTTGAAAGGCTTGTTCACTAACTCACTCAGGGAAGAACTAAATCCTCAGAACCTCCCATTGTTCTTTTATGAGCTTAAAAATTCTTAAATAAAACACATTTAACTAAAACCAGGCAGCAGAATGACACTGCCCTATTTCTCCAGCTTGGTGAGAAAAAAAAAATCATCAAGTCGATGTTTTACATAGGGTAATTGGAAGAATGAAATCCAGATTAAATTTAAACTCTGGTTTATTACAAGTGCCCTGCAGCACCTCTTACCTGATGAGCAGAGCAAGCTTCTGCTTTTTCCAAGGGCTGCTATGAACCACATTATTTCCTTAGGTAAAAACTTTGGCCTAGATCTCCATAATGTGTGTATCCCAAGCTACAAGCTGAGTTTTTTGAGTCCTTCTTATGTTGGGAAGTGAAGCCACAGATTTAAATAGTTAACTGTGGATGTGGATTTATAGCTTCAACTTTAAAAAAGCTGTCCTTTGACAGCTTACATGGCAGCACCTGTGCACTTTAGGCTGAGGGCTCGATGGTCTTGCTGCAGGGAATTGAAATGGGTGGCTTGAAGCCGGTACTGGTGAAGACCGTCTGAGGGATGTTGCTGGCCAAGTCAGGGACATTTGATCTGCTTCTGAGCCAGCGTGTGAATGGGCACAGGTTCCAGCCCACTGTTCTGTGGCAAATAAAATTGGGGTGGTTGTATTTGTGCCCAGCTGCCCACATAAGTCTCGTCAGTGCTAACTTTGGCCATCCAATTTTAATTTGCTGTCGCATGTCTGCCAGAGCATTGCAGAAGAGTGGGAGGGAGGATATTTTCCCCGATGACTGCTGTTGACATTTGCAGAATAGAAGTGAAGTCAGTTGCTTGTTTGTTCAAAGGTTTTAGTGCCTGTAGCGGTTCTTGGCCAGCTGGGATCGCTCAGCGCCTGTAGCCCAGCAGGGACCTTCCCAGCTACAGCATGGGGAAAATTGATCAAGCTGTGTTGGTGTTTAACTTTGTTTCTTAGACCAGGGGCATCAGTGAAACCAAAATGATTGATCTTGCTATCCAATTTGGGGAAGCAAATGAGAAGGTGTTCTGCTCTTCTTTGCTGCCCCCACAAAAAAAAGGAAGTAATTAAGGAAATGTTCATATACGCACACAGGCTCGGCAAAGCTGTGACGTGGGAAAGGACTGATGGCTTTGTTTACTGAGGGCATCTTGCAGCTTTCATTTTTCACTAATGTGAGCTACTGCAGAAGCAAGGCAAAATTTTAGTCTTCACCCCAAAATCTACAGGGTGCCTGTGTGTGAAGGCTAATGTTTGTTTCTTCTGGTATTGCAGGCTCAAGGTAACAGCGTCAGAATGATGTGATTGCTGGTGGTCCTGAAAAGTAGCTCCTCTCTGGCTGGATCCAGGCTCTGCATCTAATAGCAATGTAAATAACTTCTCTTTCCTGGAAGAGTGGTCATGGACTTGATTTTCACAAGACTGAGCACAACCCGCGTTTTATTTCAGCAGGCTTGTGTGTGCTGGGACCTGGAAACATTACTACTGTGTGAAAGTGGATTGTGGGGGCACCTAATGGAAAGGGACGATTGAGGGGACAAAGAGAGTATGAGTAAGCTGTGCTGTAAACAAGAGGAGCAGATATAGGACAAAGATGACACCAGTAATAAGCATGAGTCGGGGCTGGAAAGAAACGAGAAATTTGAGAAAATTGTAACGTAAAAGGTACAGCGGAAGTTACTGTAGAAAAAGAGGAGGTGAAGTGGAACGAGGGAGAGAAGTGGGAGAAGGAGGAGGGAGTGATTGCCAAGTGCAGTTAATAGTGGCACCAAAGAGAATTTTAATTGGAAACCTGTTATAATTAACCACAGTTCTGCTCCCATGCATTTCAGGAAGGCATGTGGCAGGTAGTTTTCCTTTTGGCTGTTGTGTTGCTCATGCAGAGTATGCTGGGTTTCAAGCCAAGCATGAGATCCACATTTGTCTTTACCAGGCCCTGAGCAAACACATTAATAATGTCATTTGTCATGGGAGATGGCACTACAAACTGATTTCAGATTTTTCTATAGCAGATGGGGTATGCGTTCTGATTCTCCTGTATCTAAAGCTGCTCATTTTAACTCTTCAAGCATGAGCTCTTGTCACCTGGCAGGATGACATTGACCCTAGTTGGTGCTGGAGAGAGACCTTGACCTCATTGGTATGACCCGTGGAGGCTCCTTCTAAATCCTCTGGGGGACTTTCTAAGTAAGGAAGGGGCGAATCTGCGGCTTGTACATTCTTTATGTCTGGAAGGATGAAAAAGAACCATGGAGGGTTCCTAAAATTCATTTGAACTTAATTGTCCTTTACCTCTTTGTGGGATGCTAGTGCCGTGTGCTGGAGAGCTGCTTTGGATGCTGGTGCTCCTTCAGAGCCTCTTCTGAGCAAGTCAGGCAGCTTTTTGCGTGCTGGAGAGCAGGATTGCTGTGACTGAGGTGTTATGGATGCATCTTTCAAATCCCTTTGGCAATTAAAAAACAGAAGAAGTGGAAACCCCTAGCTGCAATTTCAGTTAAAAATGACCACTTCCCACCCCGCAGAAAAACCCTCTGAATGTAGAAAGCATGGGAATTCAGAGGTCAGTGAGAATGTGTGTTAAAGCCAAACCCTGAGCAGCGGGAGCTGTGAAAGCTGAAGTGAAGACAGGTGTACCATGGTTCTGTGTGTCTGGTGGAAGCACCTGGCTCTGTATCATCAGATCACAGAAGGGTTTGTGTTGGAAGGGACCTCCAAACACCATCCAGTCCACCTTGTCCTTGAACTTTATCCACCTGCCCGGGGAGATGTTCGGGGTCAGTGGCAGGATAGTCCCATGCCCTGTGCCAGGTAGCGGGAGCTGGAGCTTGGGTCCATCTCTGAGCTTGGCATGGGGCTGGCACATGCCGGGAGGGGTTGGGTGGGCTCACAGGGGCCTGCAGTGGGCTTGCAAAGCAGGGGCAGGGGGGAAG